ATATTCATACAGAGCCAAAAAATGGATGTTTCCACGTTTCAAAAAATGGCTTTTCGTTAGTTTTCGGTGCGAATCTGTTTCTCATTTCTAAACGCTAGTGGAATAATTTATATCATTTATAAATAAATCATTTATAGATAAATCATTTATAGATAAATCATTTATATAAATACTTTATTCAGAAAGAAATAAAGTGCGAAAACGCATTAATAAAATTTATTATATTAGATAATTCATGTTAATTTGTCGTCTTTATTTCTCTAACTTTCATCGAACGAAAAATGAACCTGAGCTTGAACAAAACCCGAACAATCCCCAGGTCTTTCATTTGTTTTCCTCCAATCCTCCATCCAATACAATGGGAATTTCAAAGTCTAGACTCAAAATTGAATCTGTGACAATGCAATAATCTCTTCCTTTTTGAGGCATATGAAGGCATATGAAGCCTTGGGCTGATAATCACTTTTCTGGAGCACCTTGGATCTTTCAACAAGATTCTGCACCAGCAAAAAAGACCATGGAGTGGTTTGCCAAGCAAAACGTGGATTTCATTACCCCGGAAGAATGGCCTGCAAATTCACCTGACATCAATCCGATGGATTTTGCCATATAAGGAATCTTGAAGGCAAAGGTCTCATCAGCTCCACATGCTAATTTGGATGATCTGAAAGCCACCCTTATCAAGGAATGGGCAAAAATCCCCGTTGAGACTCTCCGCGCCGCGGTCGACGATGTGCCGAAGCGACTTAGGGCTTGCATGAAGGAAAAAGGAGGAAACCTTGAGATTTAACTGTTTTTATTTTGTTATTTGGACTGTTGTTGTTATTTTCAGTAAAATTCTATAAAGCTTTTTTTCTAATTTTCTGAAGACCAGTCGGTCTTTTCATCGCCGGATATTTTGGCCGCACCCTGTAGTTATCGCCAAAAATCGTCCCAATTCAGTCCTTCTATGATCATGCTCAAAACACTTATGTCGAGCCAGCTATTGAGCACATTTGTGAGTGGGAAGATCGTAACAGGTAAGTGCTCAAATATTAGGTGAATAAGCCTTTTCCTTCCGTTTTATCTTTCCTTTTCACCAACCTAATAATTCTAAAAGTTTAAGTGGACTTTAGAAAAAAGGAACCCTTCGAACCGTCCCTACGTGTTGAAGACTCACGTAAGGCCACGCTAAAGAAAAGCCAAACAAATATCAAGTTGCTGGATGTTCAAATGAATACAGGCACCTCGAGAATCTCAAAAGCCACGAACGATTTAACACCGGCAAAAAGCCATACAAGTGTTACCGAATGTGGACCACAGTGCACTTCAATACAAACCAATCCATTGTTTCAGGCATTCAGCAATTCTACCAAACCCATACAGATGAGGTGAGCTAATAAAGGAAGAATTTAACAAAGTACCACAATTTAGAAGCCTTAACTGTGTGCGATTATCAAGGATGTCCGAAGGCTTACACCGATCCATCAACCCTTGACACAGGCGTTAAAAGAACTCATGGTGATCGGGTAAAATGTCGAGGAAGAGAAACTAGGCGAAGATGGTGGACGATGGCCAAAAACGGTTTAGAAAAAAATCAGAGCTTATTTTAACAACATAATACAATCAGCCTAAGCTCCGTTTTGTTTGCGCTGTTTTGTTTGCGCTGTTTTTTTGCGCTTTCGTGCGTGATTAGAAAAATTGTGTATCGAAAGAAATAGTTTAAAAACACATCATCTTTCATGGTTACAACATCTAAAGGTTGTAATTTAAATTAGATTTAAATGCTCATTGTATTGCTAAATCTATTGCTGAATCTATTCCTGATTTACGAGATAGTCTAATTGTTGAGCTAGCTCGAGGTGGTCTATGATTGAGCTAGCTAAGTAAAAGTACACGTAAACAACCTAATTCGAATTTCATAAACACCATTTTCTACAAGAATTCGTTTTAGGTTGCTTCGAAATCGAAATCGCCAAGCGAACTTGATCTGGAAATCTTGGTATAAACATTTTTTTAATTTGAGGAGAAAATAATGCGCGTTTTGAATTCAGCATCAGGAATTGAAAAGGAAATTCAAGCCAACTCATGATTCACTCATGCTCAATTCAAAAAAGCGGCTATTTTGGCTCCAAAAATCCTCAATTTTTTGATTGATGGAATCAGGGATTTGGGTCTAGGCTTACTTATGGATATTATCGAAATGGCATGCTTATGTTTGCCCGTTCAGATCTCCGCTTCTAGAACAGCAACTGTTCTAGAAAATTGTTTCATTGGAAAGTCAAAAATATCAGCTTTTGATTGCTATTTTACATAGCAATATGTAATGACTAAGCAGCTTAAAACCTTTATTGATACTTATCGATATCGATAAGCTTTCGACATTCGATAGCTAACTAAATTGTAACTCCGATCAATACTTAAGTAACTTTTTAAGGCACTCACCCACGAGGGTTTGCGATGAGATAGCAATCAAAAGCTGACATTCTTGACTTTCCAACGAACCATTTTTCAGGTTGATAGCTGCTCTAGAGACCAAGATCTGGGCGGTCAAAGATGAGATTTGTATCGATGAGGTCGATAACACGCCGAAGATGGGGAAAAAGGCATCGATAAAAATCAAGAATACCTTCAATACCTTACTGATTGATAGTTTCTATTTTCTAGAGCTTCCAGAGCTTCTATAGCTACTAGAGCCTCTAAAGAGCTCTAGAGCTTTCAAAGCTTATCTAGAGCTTCCAGAGTGTTTCTATGCGCTTAGGTATCAAATTAAGGTAGAGAGAATAAGTGATTTTTTGAGATATAATACATCTTTTTAGCATTAACCAGCGCTTAGAAAAAATTATTAAAAGATGATGACACTCAAGCGCCCAGAAACAGTGTTGTGTTGAGCTTGATTTGCTTGAGTGTAAACTTGGACCGCGGTACCTGTGGAGTATTCGGGGTTCAATATATCATTGGAAAATATCAATACATTTCTCACAATGTTCCAAAGTAAATCTTCGTATCTGTTTGTTTCAACCATTCTTTTTCTGTGAAATAAAAAAGCTTCCGAGAATCAATGATCATCAAGTGAGCTTTTTCTCTCCTTTTTCTCCTTTTTCTCCTTTCTCTCCTTTTTCTCTTCCTTTTCTCTTTTCCACAAATTTGTAGCAATTGGCGGGTTTCCAAAAAAAGAATTGAATTTGTCTTTCAAAGAATTTATATAAATGATAACGGTTAATTTATAACTTGAAAACGTTTTCCATCAGTTGACGATCAGCAGTCTTCGAAGCATGGAATTCTATCTCAGGGTCAACTACACATGCGGAGAATCGGTAAATGAGTTGAAAATTTTGGATCTATTTAAATTTGAGCTTAGAAATCCTAGTAATCGGCACAATCAGCAGAAAAAACAAATTTTATTTTCTTCTTTTAGGGAGAGCAAAGAGCGTGTTACTATTTTGTTTCGACTCCAAATGATCGCTCTTTCTACAGCAAAGTGAAACTGAGTTTGGGAGATCCGCTTGACCAGCAGTCTTCGAGCAATGTGTAAGTTCTGTTTACACTTAGTAGTTCTTTTACACTTAGTAGTTTCGTTTAAAATTGAAGTTTTGTGAAAATTCGTAAATTTGGCATTTCTTGAAAACCAGTTTTTGAATCATTCTGAAAATCTGGATTTAAGCCTAATTTTTGATTCTCTACACCTTTTCCATTGACACCAAAATGGGTTTCTTTTGAAGAAAGTGCTCAAATTGTCACATATGACAAATGTGCGTTGTGCTTTTCGTTGTGCTTTTCGGGATCTACGCATAAAAATACTCCAGAAAGAGTGGCTTTGAGGAAAAAAAAGTGCCCCCCCTCCCAACAGGCGTAGTACCTTGTTCATTTTAAATTTCAATCTTTTGCAAGCAAGACCAAAAGTTTGGCTACGAGACTATGGAAAATCAAACAAAAATTATTTTGCGGAAACTTTTCACTTTATCGCGTGAATAAAGTATTATTATTACACTTTCCAAAAGTGTTGAAAAGTCACTGGAATCAAACAACTTTTCAATAACAATAAAAGCTTTCCAAAATTCGACTTTCAATTGAATAGAGTCAAAAATCGAGTAAAACCAGATGACCCGTTCGGGTTTTTTTCCAAATTCTTTCCGAAGTGAACACACGATTTTCAATGCAGCAGTTCATCTTGGCAACTAAATTACCGGTTTTTGGGGTAAAAATTTCCACGATTTTCACGTTCTAACAAAAGTTCATTTCCTTTTGATGTCAAACGAATTATTTTGGTGCAGATGTGCCAGAAAGCTTGCGTTTAAGCTTTAAAGAACATTGCTTGGATAGCTTGAAAGCTGAAAGGATAGCTGAAAAACATTAAAATCGTTCGAATTCAAATGAAACGATGAAACACATTAAAATTGACATTTTTGACGTAAAAGACATTCCCATCGATGTCTTTTCTATGCAACGAAGCGTGCTTGCGAGCTTCGACCAGTCGCATCTCGACCCCGAGGAACGTGGCCAAGAATGATGGAAAGAATTTGCAATCAGGAGGAAGAGCCAAGAAAGAAATTGGTATGTTTTGCGAAGTGGGACAACGACCTCAAGTCTGGAGGAATCGGACAACAAGTGGTGCGTGCTTGTTGAATAAGGAAAGGGCTGATCCTTAAAGGATCTTTTTTTCCATTTATCAATGAAATGCTAGCCATTTGACATTTACCATTTGAGAAAATCCAGCTCGGAAAATATTTGATTTTTTCGATGAAAAGAATCAAATGTTTATTATGGTAGTTTTTAAAAACACACACTTAACTAAAATTTGTAAAAAGGAGCTCTAGGTCAAAAAAAGCAAAATGCAAAAAAGATGATCTAAATCTTTAAAGATAATCAATGACTTTTGCAGTCCTTCTTATAGAATCAGAGGAAAAGTTTTGAAAAAAACTACAGAAACAGGTTTAAGAACAAGCATTAAGAACAAAAGCTAGAAGAAAAGGATAAGGTTGTAAAGAGTTGACATTTAGAATATAAGTCCACTTCGAGATAGAGATCTATGACCACTCATTTCAGAATCGGTTTGGCCTTCACAATTCATCGCACAGGATCGTGGCAAACAATCGATCGAATCCCATTCATCGGACACCCCGACGACAGCAACCGCTCCAGCCACCGCCACCCATTCATCTGCCAATGCACAGCCCGCAACATGTGCGTTTTTGAAAACATTAATCTCTAATAATATTGAACTCTCGCCTTTCATGGTGATCTTTTTCTTCAATCTTTCTCGGTTCAAATTCTCTTATATATCTTTTATACGTTTTATAGCTCCCTTTTATCCCTAGAATTCCCTTTTAAGCAGTAGCCATCGCCCTTTTGCATCTTTTAGCTGAAGGAAAAACCGGGGGAACCAATACAGTCGATGGGTACAAAAACCGCTATCTCTTTTCTAAAAGATTTTACAGCTATTTTAGTAAAATAAAGGGCAGCAGAGCCAAAAAATGGATGTTTCCACGTTTCAAAAAATGGCTTTTCGTTAGTTTTCCGTGCGAATTTGTTTCTCATTTCTAAATGCTAGTGGAATGATTTATATCATTTATAAATAAATCATTTATAGATAAATCATTTATATAAATACTTTATTCAGAAAGAAATAAAACGCATTAATAAAATAGATTATATTAGATAATTTGCATATTAATTTGTCGTCTTTATTTCTCTAACTTTAATCGAACGAAAAATGAACCTGAGCTTGAACAAAACCCGAACAATCCACAGGTCTTTCCTTTTATTTTCCTCCAATCCTCCATCCAATACAATGGGAATTTCAAAGTCTAGACTCAAACTTTAATCTGTGACAATGCAATAATCTCTTCCTTTTTCTCATTAGAAAGCTTCCTTTTTTTCTATCACAAGTCATTCCAGACATTTTGCTTTAAAATAACACCTGTCTTTTTCTATACTTTCCATTACTGACGTCAAAAAACAATTGAAATTAATTAAAAATCGAATTTTTAATTAGCTTAGTAATGGCAAAAAAATCCAATGGAAAACCAGTAGATTTTGACTTTATTCTTTTTACAAGGTAAAATCCAAGGTTTTTAGAGCAATTTTAATTTAAAATTTAAAGCAAATTTAAAAAGCAATTTGTATAAGAGAGTTTATTTTATTTGTATCAGATCTTATAGAGTTTGTATAAGAGATATTTTAAGTGCTAAAAAAATATGCGAACAAAACTTAAGAAAAAATGCCGTTAGCATCGCTCGTTTCTGATAAATGAGAGCTGATACCCATCGGGCAGTTTCTTTTGCACCACCCTAATAGGAGTGCTTAGTCATGCCAAAAAATAATCCCAAACTTGATGGTGGATTTTGGTGCCTTTTCGGAGTCTGAATATGCTTCTCTCGAGTCTCGGATGCCTTTGCGAAAAGGAAGATTTTTAACAACTTTTCCTTGCCAATTCCTTCATTTTATTGGCTCATTGATAGTCAATAAGGCTAAGATAAACTTGATCAAACTTAATGCAACTCCAGCTGTTAATCGGTTGATAATCAAAGTTCATCTACACTTTATTCATCTCCAATTTCTAGGCGCTGAGGTCCCGAGATTCCATGTGATTCGCTCTACAGATGCCCATCAACCGAGCAAATCCCGTCACATCCGTATTCACGGAAAACCCCGACGATGTGCTCCAATTGACAGCCAGTTCTAAACCGGATTCAAACAAAATCCTTCACATTTCCAACTTGCTTCCTTAAAATCATCAATCAAATGGTCTGCGGGTTAAGCTTACTCACTTTCAAGCCTAATTCTTGAGTCCAACATCATTCATTTCAATCTGTGTCTTCTCATCTTGTTCCAATTTGCCTTAGACAAAGTCCTTACAAAGTCCCACTCCTCGTCTAGTCCAATTTTACAATCCACTTTAATCAAATTGTTATTTTCTTCTAGAACATTGTCAATTTTACTTGATATTCAAAATATCTCATCTTTGTTTTAAAATTTCTCTAAAGAATCCACAGCCTGTGCGGGTCTTTTATACTTTTCCGTTTTCCACTAAAAGAAAAGTGATGTTTTTGGGATCGTTGGTGTTTTGAAATAAAAAATTAAAAGAAGAAATTACAAGTGCAGAATGACAAGGAAAACTTCTTCTTCGCAACTAAAACAAATTTGATTAAGCCAAGAAGCGTTTACGAGTTTTGTAAAACAAAAGAAATCCGGTGATTATCTTGGTACTCGATGGTATTTGAAAAAGGTATATTAGAAGTTTTACGCGAATTTATTTGACTATTTTGCTACAAAAACAGTCGATCGAATTTAAAACATTATCATTCACCAAAGAATGCTTTCATTGGTATCCAGATCATTGAATTCTACAAATTAGGTCAGCAAAAGGGATTTCCCGCTTTCGCAGAGATCTTTTTTTGGATAGAAGATAAGCCGCAAAAAAGGTTGACATCTCGAATCTCAAAGAATCGTGAGATTCGGGCAAATATTACTGTAGGGAAAAAATTGAAGGACCTCTAGGACCTCGAAAACAGTAAAAAAGAGTTCTTGAGTAGCTTTTAATGCAATTTGGGATCAGATAAAGCTTTAGTTTTTGGTTGGTGACATTCTAAAAGCAAGCAAAAAGCTTCATGAAATGAAAAGGAACGGGACTCTTGTTGGTCATATAAACAAATTAGGTTACCAGAAAGGATTTCCCACTTTAGGAGAGATTTTTTTTTTCCTCGCCTAAAAATCATCCAAGTAAAAAATTATTCGAAAATTATTTATATATTTTTTTGTAGAAATCATGCAACGTCGAATGTAAAGAGAATCCAAAAATAGAGAGATTTATTTTTTGCAGCTTTTAATCTCAAGGCAAGGATGAAGTCCACGATTTACCTGGCTGCCTAGCAACAGTCCGGTTCTAATGTTTGCTATAGGTTGGGGACTTTTTGTTAGTCTAAAAAGTTGGCCGAAAATTCTTTGGACACTTTGTCATAAATCTGTTTTTTAAATGAAAAGCTTATGAATTAATTAATAGTTTGCTTCAAATAGAAGATCTTTATTGCTATAAAACGTATAAAAGATATCAAGAGCGAGAGAATTTGAACCGAGAAAGATTGAAGAAAAAGATCACGATGAAAGGCGAGAGTTAGTTCAATATTATTAGAGATTAATGTTTTCAAAAACGAACATGTTGCGGGCTGTGCATTGGCAGATGAATGGGTAGCGATGGCTGGAGTTGTTGCTGTCGTCGCGGTGTCGGATGAATGGGATTCGATCGATTGTTTGCCCCGATCCTGTGCGATGAATTGTGAAAGCCATGCACCGATTCTGAAATGTGTGGTCATAGATCTCTAGCTCAAGTGGACCTATATTCTAAATGTCAACTCTTTACAACCTTATCCTTTTTTTCTAGCTTTTGTTCTTAATGCTTGTTCTTAAACCTGTTTCTGTAGTTTTTTCAACTTTTCCTCTGATTCGATAAGAAGGACTGCAAAAGTCATTGATTATCTTTAAAGATTTAGATCATCTTTTTTTGCATGTTGCTTTTTTGACCTAGAGCTCCTTTTTACAATATTTTAGTTAAGTGTGTGTTTTTAATTTTATAAATTTTTCAAAACAGTAAACCAGAAAATGGAATCATCACTCACCAACATTTGGTCCTTCCTTTCTTTGAGTTCTTTGGCTTAACGATTAAAGTGATTATAAAGGGTTTTTGATTGAATCTTTGAGTGAAAAAACTGTAAACAAATTTACCTTGTGACAAAGAAAACATAAGTGAGCACAGCGACGTTGCCAGCCGTTTCGAAAATGAACAAAAAAGCGTAGGGAAGGGAAAATGAGGTGACTTCGGTGCTGTACACTTGCATTGATGGATCCGCCAGAATGTACAGAAGTCATCTGAAATTTGAATAAAAAGGGGAAAAGTGAAAGAGATAATATAAAGAGGAGAATATGTTAAGAATATATTAAGAGTAGAATATAACAGTAGAATATAAGAGGAGAATATAAGAATATATCAAGAATATAGTTTTCAGAATAAAAATACGATTTATTGATAAATTGTTAAGGAAAAGATAGAAGTTGGCCAGGCAAAAAAGCGCGGTTCGGCGAGGTTTCTCGCTGTTTTTCCTGCTGGTTCTTAACTCGACGTGGCGCAGCCAGGAGTGCCCTCGTCTAGCACCCACAGGGTTCGAGTTCGAACCCCGGTTGCGATCCGACTTTTGCTTTTGAAAAAATAAAATATGAGATACAAAACTACTCAGAATTCTAAGCCTAACACTAAAAATTACGTAAATCGGCTCACGGGAAGCCGAGATCTCGCGCGTACAAATGAACGAAGCAAACAATTGATTTTATATATAGATTGTTAAAAAGAAAGGTAGAGTGACTGGCTTGAGAAAGGCAACAAAGAGATCAGTTTAGATTTTCCAATCTTTAAAATGCTGTAAATCTTTTAAAGTAACGGCAATCTCGAAAGTCTATGATCCATTTAAAGTACAGGAAGTACAAGAGTTTCCGGTAGGAAATTTTATAAGGAACATTTTAAGAACAACACAAGTTGATCGGTTAACTGATGAAAATGCAGATAGGGAGGAAGAGAAAAGAGTGATTAGCATCCGCGGAACAATAGCACAATTGTTAAAGAAAACGAGTACTTTTTATTAGATGAGCCCCGATTTTTTCGACGGATTCGAACTCCTCGACTAAAACTACGTCTAGAAAAGTGATCTTAAAAGATTAAAAAAAAAATTTTTTTTCATTTCACCAATCCAATAGATCTGTGTACTCGATGAGTAGGAATTTTTGCGGAAAAACGTTTTCTAAAACAAACGCAGGATCATGCACCTTAGAGCCCCGAAATTTGGCTTAAAACGCCGTTTCCCCCGTTCTCGTCCTGTTTTTCGAGATCTAGGCATAAAAATACTCCAGAAAGAGTGGATTTGAGGAAAAAAGTGCCCCCCCCCCCCCCCCCCCAACAGGCGTAGTACCTTGTTCATTTTAAATTTCAATCTTTTGCAGGCAAGACCAAGAGTTTGGCAATACCGAGTACATGAAACTGGACATCAGCCAGATGGGACATCAATGAAACTGGACATCAGATGGGACGAAAGCACCATCGTACTCGGCGTTTTGCTCATTTTGATGCCGAAATCTCACTTCTGTTCATTCCCTTTGTAAATATCTACTTCTGTTTAGGCAATACCGAGTACATGAAACTGGACTTCCCATCAGTCTACTATGTCACCGAAGCTGGCTCGATCGTTATAATCATCGTTTTCATTTTTTTTATTCTGTCATTGATTTATTGCTTTGGTTTTGTGAAAAATTTATTGAAATGACAAAAAAACGAGCAAATATATAAAGGAGCAAATAAATATTGGTCAGCTAGTTACAAGTTACTGTACAACAGTACAATGTGAGCACAATGTATTTGTATCTCTTACTCATTATTTTTTTTATTAGCTAGGGATATTAGCCAGGGATCAAATCGCATCGTTTCTATGAATTTGACAATTTTACTTTTTTTTCCTTTTTGCCTTTTGAAATGGCTCAAAATCGATCGTTATAATCATCGTTTTCATTTTTTTTTATTCTGTCATTGATTTATTACCTTGGTTTTGTGAAAAATTTATTGAAATGACAAAAAAACGAGCAATTAAATAAAGGAGCAAATAAATATTGGTCAGCTAGTTGTTACTGTACAACAGAAGTTATATGTATATGTATGTGAGTTATATGTGAGCACTATGTATTTGTATCTCTTACTCATTATTTTTTTTAAAGTTTTCCTTTAAACAAACGTTGGAGAAAACTTTGTTTTCTCAACGTGACTTAAAAATGCAAAATCACAAGTAAATTCTTAGAAAAGAAAGGAAAAAAAAACGGTGGGACGAATTTTTCTGTAATTTCGCTATACTTCTAAATTTTTATGCTCTATCTTTTTTCTATTGACACCAAAATAGGTTTCTTGAAGAAGAAAGGG